TCCATTCATCCCATCAAGTCATCATGTTCAGATTGAACTGAGTTGATGGGATGAATGGAGTCTGGTGTGCGATTGCTTGGTTGGAAAGAGAACCTGCAGCCACACGGCCCTTTCTGGAACCGGTTTGACACCCCTGGTCTACCCTGTAAGAAACCGAACCAGTAGCTCCCATTCTCACCAATGTTTGTTTTGACTGTCAGTCACTGCAGTTTCAGCCTCATGGAACCATGATTCAACTTATGTCACCTCTGATGCCCCCTGCTGGCAGTTCTTGATTCTGTTTTGTTTGTTTTTTTTTAGGTAGAGTTTATAAATCATTTATGTATGATTATAAAGTTAAAGACCAAAAACAAAGCACTTATGGAGGAAAAATAATCTGTTTATTTACATGGTGCATATTTACCAAACATGTCACATAGTAATTCAGACCAAGCATGCAGACGGGTTGTTCCCATTCCAGTTGGTCCAGATGATCCAGTTAAAACATTTCCTTATTTAAACCTGTTAAAGGTGAGTTATTGACTAGCAGAAATAACTACATCTGGTTTAGCATTTAGTGAATGTGGAAAGAGTTGGAGTAAAACCTACAGAGCAGAAATCATATCTAATTATCAATACAGACCTAAAATAATCCAACACATCAACTTTCCACCCGTGAAAACACACATGAAGTCAGAGAAGATATTGAAAGGTAAGTCCAAAAACATTAAAATCAATCCACTGGACTTTGTTTCCAAGTTTGAAGACGTTTCTCTTCCATCCAGGAAGATTTTTCAGTTCAAAATGTCAGAAATAGCGTTTAGTTCCAGGTTTTATCCAGCAGCCCAACAAAGCCTGGTTTTAGTTTAGAAAACATGCAAATAGAAACGGATGAACGGGTCCCCCCTTTGGAATGGGGGTCGTTTGGCTTCTTTGTTAGCCTGCAATGCCCCATACCTGTCTATGTCTCTGAAAGGGGGGTCGTTAGAGGGAATAGTTGGCCTGGCTGAGGTCTTCTGTTCTCCTGTAAAGGGGTTTGGGCTGCGATGATAGCAGGAAGGAATCAACTATTGCTGCATTGTAGGTTTTTGTTTTTTTTGGATGACTCAGAATCTTCACCAGCATTAAAAAGTCTGCTCTATTCTCTTGGTTCAGATGGGAGAAAACCAGGTTGGGTCATTTGATTCAAAGCAGCCAAACAGACCAATCTATAAAAGCTGTACAAGACGTTTTATGTATCCAAAGAAAAGATATAAGGCAGCGGTGGTGATCATAAACCCAACACCTCCATCCTCTACATATTCCAGCATGGCAGGTCTACCTTACCGAGGTGTTCACCTGGAAAACTCAATGAAAAGCATGTCTGAAACAGGCTTTAGAAGCAAATTGTATTTCAGTACACTTGTAAAAATGTGACAGGTCCTGAAGGAAAGAAGTGATTGCCGAAAGTATCAGGTTCATGAAATCTGAAGTAACTCAGCAGCTCCTGAACTGACACTGATTCCAACATGCAAAGGCTGAGTGAATGTCACCTGGGCTCGGTGCAGGAGGACCATGTTTGTAGAGATGCTGTAGAAGGAAAGAACCCCTGCATGATAATCCAGATACACTCCTATCCTCGGAAACTGGGGCCCTGATAGTACAATTTCTTTACCATCATGTATGAATTTATTATTGTGGCAATATAGGGCCCAGGACATATTGTTATCTCCAAACCCACTGGTTACTCCAGTTCTGGGGACGTCTTTGTATGCGACGGCCACGGAAACCATCCCAGTCCACTCCACCTCCCAGTAACAGCGGCCTGTCAGGCCTTCTTTGCTCAGAACCTGAAACCGGTCTTTAAATCTCTCTGAACGGTTAGTGTACCACTGCTTTTTCTTCACCTGTGTCACTTTCCTGTTCTCCATGGAAAGCACCAACATCTTATTCACCGTGTTTGGATCCAAGGTGATCTGACATGTGTATGGTAAGAATGCTGATCTTGTCCCGGGGTCCCCCGATGGAGGACTCTGTGCTGGGAGCGGTACACTCTTTAACTGGCCAGGTGATGGGAATGACTTCTTGTCTTTTGTCTGGTCTGGCGGTGGATTTTTGGCTAACTTTGGTGAAGGACAAGCTGAAGGAGAGACTTCTGATGTATTTTGAAGGGAATATCTTGTGGAACGAGTCATAGGCTTTTTCAGTTCTGGGTTGGATTCTGCTTTAAAAGTCTCAATCAAGGACATGTAAGATGGCGGCTCTGGACCAATATTTGACTCTTCTGATTTTGAATAAACTGGCGAAGATAAAACTGTTGACCCATCTGGTGTTGGTTTCAAAGTCTTGGACTCACTTGAAGGTCTGTAGATCGGTGCCTTTGGCTCAATATTGGAATATTTAGAGTATGGCTGAGGTGGCAGTACCTGGGATTCGGATGATTTTAGGCGTGATGATGCCATTGCCACGGTCTTTGACTTGGCTAGTTTTGGGGAAACTGCTGGTGCTGAAACATTGGACTTCCCTTGTTTTAGGGCAATTGTAGGGGGAAGCTCCATTGAACCTTCCTTGGAGAGTGTACCCTGTGGTGATGCTAAATGCTGATGTGGTGGCGTCAGTGATGGATCTGTTTTAGTCATGGGGATCCTGGTCCAGCCATGAATCAGGGTGTCCTGCAGTTTCTGAATGAGCTCTGTGACAGCCTCCATCATCTCATGGAAGGGTTTAAGAGAATGGATCCTGATGTCTGGGTTTGTTGATGAACTGGGTGATGCCAGTGAAAGGTACCTGCGTAGAAACTGGGCGTGATCTTCACTGAGCGACAGCTTCTTCAGCTCATTGTCTCTCCTGGTCAGCTCTGAGATCTCCTGCTGCATTCTCTGCTGAAGCTCTCTTACCCAGCGGATATTCCTTTCCTGCTGCAACCTGATCTGCTGCTGCACGTCATTGCTTCTTTTCTGCAAGAGCTGCAGCAGCTGGTTGAACATGGTCTGGACATCCTTCACTACTTTATCAGCGGAACAGTTGATGGCTTCCCCCTCCTTCTCAAGTTGCTTCAAGTTTTCCTCTCTGTCTTTGATTCTTTTCTGGATGTTTTCCCGCCTTGAATCGAGCTCCTGCTGCCTCTCGGTCCTCTCCGCCGCCACTGAGACGGTGTCATGTCCTTTATGTTCATCCACAGAACACAGGTAGCAGATAGTCAGCTGGTCACTGCGACAGAAAACCTCCTTCATTTTATTGTGAAGGGAGCAGATGTTCTCCTGGATGTCTGCAGAAGCTGTGATCAGCTTGTGGGTCTTAAAAACTGGGGAGTTGTAGTGAGGCTGGAGGTGAAGGTCACAATAGGAGGCCAAACATTGCAAGCAGGACTTGGTAGCCTTCAGCTTGTTCCCGGTACAGAAATCACAGTCCACATCTGCGGGTCCCCCATAGAGGTGAAGATCAGGAGCAACTTTGGGTCCGCTCTTCTTCATTTCTTGCACTAGCTCGGCTAACATGGTGTTCTTTCTCATGGCGGGTCTTTGTGTGAAGACATCCCTGCACTGAGGACAGCTGTAGGACCTTTTCACTTCATGCTCCTTCCAGTGGTTTGTAATACAGCCTGCGCAGTAGTTGTGTCCACAGGGAATCGTCACCGGATCTTTCAGTAGATCCAGACAGATGGCACAGCTTAGCAAGTCTTCATCCAGGGAAAGTTCTCGCTGAGCCATTCTTCACCGCAGAGCAAAGCAGAATTACAATCAAATCCGAGCTGTTCTGTTCAGACGAGGTTTCACTGAAGGAAGCTCGACACAGACTGGAGTTCTCGGTCCGACTACAACAGAAAACCTGTTTACGAGAACGAATGACAGAATGATGCATCAGCACAGGACCGGATCACCTGGTTCAACCTCATTCCATGGTTTCCTACGCCTAAAGGTGGCCTGGTCCCAGGGCCGGTCCGGTTCTTTCATTCTGTCTGATTCAGTTCAATCAGGCAGCAAAAAACAGGCATTTAGTCACAGTATCAGCAGTAGAGAAATGTGTAAAACACAAACCTGTAAATCTCAGTGATTTTTAACCTCACACATCGTCATTCCTTTACTACCTTCACCCTGACAGAACAGAGTCAGGTAACAGGTTGAGCTTCATTCCAGGAAGATGACTGCGGTTTGTTTATTCAGCTGCATCACTTGGTCTAAATTTATCTAAAGAGCTGCAGGAAATGACAGCACTTCATTTTTCTCTGTGTGTGTCTCCTCCTATTTCCAGTATAGCTTTGGGAATGTTCTTCATGCGTCTCTGTTGCAGTGCACTGATTTTAAAAGAACGGATCAGTGCCTCAGCAGCCTCGGATTTCTGAGGAAGCAGGTGAATCACTGTGCATCTCAATGATTAAATAAGGCCAAACCAGGCATCTCCAAAGTTGCTCCTCGAGGGCCGCCGTCCTGCAGGTTTTAGAGGTTTCCCTGCTTTAGCACAGCTGATTTTTATTATTATTATTATTATTATTATTATTATTATGATTGCAGTTTAGCAATAGCCTGTTAACCAGCTTTCAATTAAAATCAGCAGTGCTGGAGCAGGGAAACCTCTGGCTTTGTTTAAGTTCATGGGATGTCATCAGAAGGCCAAATTCGTAGGCCGATGACGTCATAGCGTGGCGCCGAGGTCTGGTCGGATTCCAAGACTCCTCCCCGAATTGAAGGATGGGTCCGCTGTATCCTCCGTAGCCTTAGGTACAACATTGGAAGGTTGTTAAAGGTAAACATACTGGTAGACCAAGGAAGACATCAAAGTGTCAAGACGGAAAACAAAACGAGGTTAGAACGGGCTGAGGAGAAGCAATGCCGGACTGAGGATGAAAGTCATTCACTGATGAATCTCCAATCTGCATTGGGTGAGGTGATGATGCTGGAATGTTGGTCCAATGAGATTTCTAAAGATGAGAACCTGAAGAGGACCTACTAATGTCCATTCGCTGCAGCTCTGGGGCTGCATGCCTTAGCTGCTGGTCAGCTAAAGGCACTGATGGCTGCCGTTACATCTTCAATAAATGAGCAGGTTTACTTGGAGATTTTGGACACTTTTCTTATCCCATCAGTTGAAAGGATGATGAAATCAGTTTACATCTTGCCATAGTGCAAAAACTGAAAATATTCAAAAAAAAAAAAAAAAAAAAAAAAAAAAAAAAGAAAATATTCCTTGGGAAAAAAGACACATAAGGTCAGTGTACTGGCCTGCTAATAGCCCGTATCTTATGACAAGGATCCAACCTGCAGAGCTGATCTGGAAACGGCAATTGGAGAAAGTTGGAGCGTTCTTTAGTTTTTCATCATTTCTTCAATCTGCTTGGTCTAATAAAGTAACAGTTACTGACTACCTCGCTTTATTTCTGGATATCTCTTAGTGTCTCTTGTAGCCAGACACCTGCCATCCAAAATGCCTTTATTCTTGTATCTTTAAATGGTAGTAGGCCAGCTGACAGCTTTCCCAGGGTCCGGACAATAGTCTTTTTGCAGCCCCCCCACACACCTGCCACCATCTGTTCCATCTATTGAAATATTGAAAGCTCTAGCCTTGGGTAGCGTCAACTCTAGCCTTCTCTAGCGTCAGATCTAGCCTTCTCTAGCGTCAGCTCTAGCCTTCTCTAGCGTCAGCTCTAGCCTTGTTTAGCGTCAGCTCTAGCCTTAGCTAGAGTAAGCTCTAGACTTAGCTTAGTCAAATGATTTGAGGAACTTTTCTATTTTTGAAATTTAAATCATGACGACAGGAGCTGCGATGGTCTGATCTGTTGTAATAATAAAATCTTCTCCCAGCTGCATGACGTCAATCTAATCCGGTCTGTTTGTCTCCCAGCTGCTGGGGGAGTCGTCTCTTCCAGGTACGCTCCTTGTCTGTCTGTCTTCTGTCCATCTCGTGGTCTGGCTGTCTAACCGCTGCTGCCCCCCTTAGCTGCAGAGTTGTCGGTGGTTCTGCTTCAGCTGGTCCACCTGTCTCTGGAAGATGGAGTTCACTTCCCACTCAGACTTGAGGTAACCTTGGCAACCACCAAAACGTATCGGGTCATGCTACCAGCTGCTGTCCATCAGTCAGGGAACCATGATGATGCGTTTCTGGTTTCAGGCTATCAGAACCTATAACAGCATCCTGGAGTCCATCAGCCGACAAGAGAGGAGACTGATCCAGATGGACCAGAACCAGACCCGGATACTGTAAGCAACCATAACACTGCGGCATACTTCAAACATTACCTGTTCCATGGTTAAAGGAACAAACACTTGACCCACCTGCTGGCATTTCTGCCTCTTTCCTCATCTACCTGTCTGACAGGTCTCAGGTGGCAGCTGCAGTCCTGACTGTTGGAGGTGAGTTTGGAAACTGAACCAGGCACACATGTCTGCTGTGTGGCCGCTGCTCACCGCCAGGGGGATTACTGTTCATCGGCAGTAATCCCCCTAAACTAATCTGTAGGTTTAAGCTGGTTCAGTGGTTCTGCATTAAACTCCGCCTCCTCTTTACCTGCTTATTACCTGCAGATTGAACCTTTCTGAGTAATGCTT